TGCTGGGATGGGTGGGCTGTGCTGGGATGGATGGTCTCTGCTGGGATGGGTGGGCTGTGTTGTGATGGGTGGACTCTGCTGGGATGGGTGGGCTGTGCTGGGATGGATGGTCTCTGCTGGGATGGGTGGGCTCTGCTGGGATGGATGGGCTGTGCTGGGATGGATGGGCTGTGCTGGGATGGGTGGGCTGTGGTGGGATGGATGGTCTCTGCTGGGATGGATGGGCTGTGTTGTGATGGGTGGACTCTGCTGGGATGGGTGGGCTATGGTGGTATGGATGGTCTCTGCTGGGATGGGCGGACTGTGCTGGGATGGGTGGACTCTGCTGGGATGGGTGGACTGTGCCATGCCAGCCTCACCACCAAGGTGGGCACCATTGAATCACGGCGTGGTTTTGGTGGGAAGGGCCCTGTAGAGGCCACCCAGTCCAACCCCCTGCCATGAGCAGGGACATCTTCAGCTGGATCTGGCTGCTCCAAGCCCTGTCCAGCCTGGCCTGGGATGTTTCCAGGGATGGGGCATCTCCCACCTCTCCGGGCAACCCAGGCCAGGGTTTCACCACCCTCAGCGTGAAAAATTTCTTCCTTATGTCCAGTCTAAATCCACCCTCTTTTAATCTAAAAGCATTCTCCCTTGTCCTGTCGCTACGCCGTGCCGTGCCAGCCTCAGCTCCCAGCAGAAGGAGCACAGCAGGGATGGCCGCTTCCCCAAATCCCCCAAAGGGCGACGGCAGCCCCGTGCCCGGGCAGGAGACCTGCCCAGCTGGCCAACGAAGCGGGGATGAGGTTTCTCTGCCTGGTCAAGAGACCAGCATTACATTCCCTCCCCCATCCCCGCCGTGCCCCTTCCCTCATCTTCCTTGCAGGCATTTCTCACCCGCAACCCTCTGTCATTCCCAGTCCTCTCCAGCATCCCCTTACTTGTTCTCCAGACCCTTCCCCAGCCTCGTTGCTCTACTGAAAGAAAAGCATTGAGGCTGGAGGAGGGTCTGGAGAACAAGTCTGCTGAGGAGCAGCACCGTGTGGATGTGGCACTTGGGGACATGGTTTAGCAGGCATGGGAGTGTTGGGGTGATCTTCGAGGTCTTCTCCAACTTTAATGATTCTATGAAGGAGGGAAAGCACGGGGGTGGAGACGTGCCCGGGTCTAGGACACCCCACGAAATCCCCGTCCCCAGCTGGGGACCCCTCCCTGGCTGGCGTGGGAGGTCCCCAGGGCTGGGGTGCTGGTCTTCTCCAACTTTAATGATTCTATGAAGGAGGGAAAGCACGGGGGTGGAGACGTGCCCGGGTCTAGGACACCCCACGAAATCCCCGTCCCCAGCTGGGGACCCCTCCCTGGCTGGCGTGGGAGGTCCCCAGGGCTGGGGTGCTCTGCTGAATCACAGAATCACAGAATGTTGAGGGCTGGAAGGGACCTCTGGGGGTCCCCAGCCCAGCCCCCTGCCCAAGCAGGGTCACCCAGAGCAGGGGGCACA